AGTAGCCCCCGGAGGATCTACAGTCGGAAATCTTTAATTTTATATTATGATAAATTCATAATTAAGTGACCTAATAAAAATAATATCATATTTTAAAATTTGATTAACGTTACCAGCCTATTTTTACTTTGACTGCAACTACATATGGAATCTAAGTAAGTTAATGATCATCAAGTGATATAAACAAAAAGGCATTTGAACTGGAAATTTAACATTAAAATTTATACTCAAATTGTAATCCTATGAAAATACTTATTATCAAACACTAGTAATGTGGTACTCCCGAGCCATGTATTTTTTTCATGGAAAAAATAACGTTTTGGGAGAAACAATCATATAAAGACTCATAAATGTCACCTTTCATACGATATAGGATAGCATGAAGAAATAAATCCACTGAAACATTTAATTTATATATAACTGACCAGAGAGGTATGCTACTTGATGCGAAAGTTTACTCATTATTCATTTACAATCTTCACCACAGTTATCATAATATTATTAGTTGACTGTCAAATATGTACCATTTTAAAAGTTTTAAGCACAAATTGGATCCCATTTGATACATTACACTTTGTTATCATGTTTCGCATTCTCAGTAATGTCACTTTTTGAAATCAACAAAAGTTCTGTCTGTGGGAAGAATTGATGTGTAGTAAAACAATGAATATCAGTCTAATCAAAGAGAGCTTCATTGAGCTCACCAGTGCTCACTAGTGAGCTTCATTCCTAATGGAATAGATTCATTCTGATTGAACAGACTAGATTTTGGGATTTGGTCAATAGTTTTGGTAGTTTGATTGTGATTAACATTACATTCTCTATCTGATAAGCCTTAATCCATAGTTTAATTTAATTTTGTTAACCTATTAAGTAAGTTACAACGAATTCGTTAAATACGAGTAACCATATATTGAACTGCTGTCAGACCAAGTAATTTGAAGAATAGTTGTGTTATTGTTTACCTACAGTACTTCAATCATTTCTGAATAGAATCGCAGATCTAATTCAGAAATTTTAATATTAGGAAGTTTATTTCCTTAGTCATTTACTATTATCTGAAGATGAGAACAACATGAATATTAGTTGCCAAGCTGTTATATGAATTCCTTTTATTTTGTAAGTTTTCATTAGTTGCTAACATAGTTAATCAAATTACTTAAATATATTCATTCGACTAAACTATACTGTGTTTTATGATCGAAATCAACGTCAGTCTTTCAAATGACAAAAGTTATCAATCAAGTTATCTAAATAAAATATCATTAATTGAATATTCTGGAAAACACACACTGCACGGCCAACTCGTCCTATTGTGGGACTCCTCAGCAGTACGCATCCACGACCTTGCCTCGCGAGATTCGAACCAAGTGATTCTAGGTTTTCCCTGATGGTCTAGCTTCAATTGACTCACACTTTCAACTATGAAAATACTGAATTTCCACAAAACCCCTTCTGATACTTATATATATATCAGATTAACTGTTGTCTAAAGCAGTTGAAAATCGATTCATCTCCTTCGTATGTTATTGTAAAACTATGTTCATTAATTTATGTGTACGTGATAAAACGAATCAATTAGAAGAACAAATAAGACGATTAGATTAAGTAGTTTTTTTAAAAAAATATTCTAGAGAATTTATGAATTAAGAGCGTTAAAATCCTTAATTGTGAAGTTTTATGACCTTTGATCAATAACTTATACAGAGAATGTCAATATTTTAAAGTCATTTAATATTATTATTATTATCAGAAGGGGTTTTGTGGAGATTTAGTATTTTCATAGTTGAAAGCGTGAGTCAATTGAAGCTAGACCACCATGGAAAACCTGAAAGCACTGCTTGAGGGCCGTTTTGTTTTATTGTGGAACTCCTCAGCAGTGTGCATCCACGATCCCGCCTCACGAGATTCCAACCCAGGACCTACTAGTCTCGAGCCAGAGCACTTAACCTATAGACCACTGAGCCGGCATCCGATGGTGTTAATGTCTAACTTCAACTGATCCACGAAGCTGAGCAACCGTTCACCAATTTTTTTCTATGGTGGTCTAGCTTCAATTGACTCACGCTTTCATTTAATATTATCAGTTTAAAAATTACCATATTTTATTGTATTTAACAGAATCAGTTGTTGGGAAAACACCTAATGTATACATTCTGAAAGTGACAGTTCTTTGTCCATTAATATCATGCTAATTTAGATTCTTCTATTTTTTAATTTTTTTAAATCCATTTTTATTTATTTATCCACTTTAAAATGAGTTTACATTCGTTGTTTGATTTATATTTACCTACTCCATTAGACTTGTATTAAACCTCTAAATATTCTCAAGTCAGTCAGTCAGACACAACGTAGAACTTTTTACGTACCTACATCAGTTCGAGTTACCATACCACATTAACACAGAGATGCAGTTGTCGATTCAAATCCCATAGTGGTAGAAGTAGTAAGAGTATAAGCAGTAATCCGAAAAATTAGGGTTCGAAGATGTTATTGAAGGAGTATAATACAGTGAAATAAATTTGGAAAGAGAAAAAGGATAGGGACATGAGGAATTCAGAAGATTGGAATTCGGGAGAACACAAATAGTGGATGCACCTACACCATTGCAAACGATTTTGAGCCATGTCATTCAAGGTCTCTGACCATTGGTTGTTATCGTCTCGCGGATCCAAACCAGGTAGTCTACACCTACCAACATGACTCAGTCCACTGGTCAGTGACTTCATGAATTTGTATATCATTTGATCATTTTCATTGACAGGTTAAATTATGTCTAGCCTAAACATAAGATAATCTGAAGTTTTCACATATAGATCATACAAATTCATTAATAACCGTGATGTTAAACTTTTTCATTTTAGCCGTATAGAATTTAGTATCTCATTTATGCGACACTACGTTGTAATATTGAATACATTATAATGATTCTATTAAGGCTATAAACAGACGATACGAAAATTAATACATATTCTTGTCCTTCAACTGTTATCCGTATTGTTTTCAACTTCTTGAAAGGGTTGTAGCATTGAATCCTTAGAATACATTAAGAAATAAAGAAGCATATATTGGTATTACAACAATCAGGTTAATCGTTACTAACTCACACAATCTGGTATAGATATTTCATAGCCTGAATTCCAATGTCACATTATCACGACAAGATTAAAGTAAAACAATGAATTCCAAAGGTTTCAAAGTACTATATTGTTCATCTTAAGATAGTCATTCATTTATAATATCGATGTTGAATTTGGATAGCTATTTTTAAAATCTTTCAACCCTAATTTTCTCTTTTCTTTCCATTAACCTTTTTATCACAAATAATATTTACCTTAACAAGTTGAATAATGGTACTTTTAATTTAATATCGGTCTTAAAGAATAAATCCTGAATGAATATGCTAATAGTTTTATTTCGATGAAGAAAAAAAATAATAAAAGAGAGAGAGAGAAACCCCCTTTGACACATAGAATTTCGGGTTAACTCATGTGAAACCATATGTATTAACTTATCATTGTATTTACTATTCTTTTTCCATACTTCATTTCTTTTTTTTTATATAATCAGTTTGAATAAAAGTCTAACAACCGATAAAAGTTATATCTAACTAATTAGCATAAGTTTTGAAGAAGAAGAAGAAGAAGAAAGAAAAAAAGTGTTTCCATTGTGCACCGTTTTAACAAGATTAGAAAAAAAAAACACAACTATGTACAAAGTGTTGACTACTAAAGAACTACAGATTTACATATATAATTTATCTTGCTAATGTAATATACATATTGATTACACTTTTTCAGGTATCTACAAGTAGGTAATAATCTAACACTTGGTATATTGAATAATTAACTTACAACCTAGTTATATAAAAGTAATGAAAAATAGAGATACCTATGCTGACGTATAACTAATGATTTATATATATGAAATGTAACCGGATTTATACTTGAGTCAATTCAAATTCCAGATTATTAACTAAGTAATTGCAATGTCATCAAAAATTTGCATAAATACGTCAATATAATTAAAAGAGTTGGGAATCTAGATTTTAACTTAACAACATAATTCTCCGTTTTGTAATATTGACTTTTATATCAGTTTATTATCTAGTGTGGAGATACCAAAATCTATCTACTCCACATAAATCATTGTAGTTGTATGTGGGTTGACATACTATTTGGGTACCCAAATGGTAAATGGTTTTCCTAAAGCGGCCACTCCTGAAGCCTTTGACCCAAATGCCTAATTTGTAAGGGAGTGCAGCAACTTTAAAAGTTGTTGTCCCATGGTAGTCGGTGATCAAGAAGAGGTTTATACGCCATTTATTTCCTCAAGATCTAATGGCTCATATGCTCCATTGGTTTAATTGCTGGACATTCTCTTTTTGTTCTTTCTATTTCTTAAACAATACTCTGACCGAGAGAAGGAAGTAGTTAGGACTTCCGTGAAAGTAGCTATAGATACATGGCCATATGAGAACATTTTGGGAGAGAGTGAACTATTCTCCACCTTCGGTTATGTGACAGCATTTAAGGACTTAGAATAAACTGTTTATCGTATAAAAATCATTAAAATATCAACTAAGTATCAAAGTATAGCTTTGAGATTATGGTTACAATGATTGTGTAAGAACTATAAATTTTACATTCCTTTCGAAACTGAAAATACAGATAGTATTTTAAAATTTGAGAATCAGACACATAACACTATATGATTTGACCATCAAGTCAATGTTTCATATGTAAAGACCTTTGACAGTGATACTCCTCCACCGAATACTAAGATGAATATTTAGTTATAGTGTGGGGTAAACTTCTAAAAGCTTCCAGAATATAACAGTAATATTTAAATATAAACGTACACACATATTTACATTTTATTTACGAATCGGTGTATTGTTTTCCTCCCTAAAATGTTAGCAAGTGACTTAGTCTTAATACCCAACATACTATTGGTACATATATACATACATATGATATATATGAGAATTTTCAACCTACCGTTTAAAGTATGCAAACATTGTAAAGCTTGTTCACGCTCTCTGAAGTGAATAAACGCATAATCACTTATTTTCTTTACTCTTTCAACGCTGTTAGGATCACCACCGGCAGCTTTAATAAATGAATCACGTAGACTTTCTTCTGTAGTTGACAGCATTAGATTGCGAACGTATAAAATCTTTACCTAAAATGATAAAGTAGTTATTTAATGTCTATCACTGACAGATTTAGTCATCGAAATACGGTTTAAACGAATGTCAAAAGTGGAATGACACTACTGAATGCATTAACTTTATTTTTCTCATCTGTCGCTTCTAGACATAAAATTTTGTAGTGATGCTCTTGTGAAATTCTACACTGAAAGATAACATACATTAAAACATTTTGTCTTATCTTACAGCACTGTTTTTGTTCTTAATGGACGATTGAACAATAAGAAAAGTGGATTCAATGTTAAACATATTGGTCATTGAATGTGAATCAATATAAATCTTAAATGCCTATTGAAGTATGTCATTTACCTATGAAAAGTTCATATAATTAAAGATGAGAACTTTCAAGATAATATTATTGTAAAGTAACAGTAATAATAGACAGAATAACTTACTTTTGACATGATATCCTCATTAACCTCCCTTTCTGGTTCAGCCCAGTCAACAGCTATTTGGTGACCCCATAAATGAATGTGTCCAGGAAGTAGTTTACGTCTAGCCATTGCAGCTGCTTTGTGACTACCGTATTCGATGAATGCAAATCCACGATTTTTTGTCTTATCGGTTACGCTTGGGTATGATATTACATCTTTGACTCCATCTGTTACTCGTTTCATTTCAGACAATATTTCTTCTCTTGTTTTATTCTTAGGTATCCCTCCAACGAATAAACGACAATTATCTACACTTAAGCATACTCCGATTGTTTTTCCTTTTCGAATTTCATAATTGTTAAGTTCTTGAACTGCTCGTTTAGTATCTTCTCTGTTAGTGTATACACAAAAACCAAAACCTCGATTTATACCATTAAGTTCCATCATTAATCGAAACATATAAATTGGTCCAATTTGTTCGAATACAGGAATAAGTTCATCTTCAAAACAGTCCCTAGGAATTTTGCCAATAAATACCTCACAACCTCTTGGAGGTGCCTCACATTGCCAATTTGGTGGAGGTCCATAACGTCTCTGTCCATTCTCTTGTACGTAAGTATATTTTGTACGTTCAAGTAAACTAACTATTGCTTCTTCCGTAGAAAGTGAGGCAGCATTTTGATTTTCTTGGTTTCCTAAGATATCATTCGAAGTAGACATAGCAGATTCTGTTGTTGTTGGTATGGTAAATGTAGTTACAGTCTGTGGCGTACTTAACTGTAAACTCGTGATATCTTTAGTTTGTAAGTTTGTCAAGCTGACGGCATTTTGGTCAACATCAGATACTAGCATGACGATAATAATAATAATAACAATAATAAATAACAAATCACAATGAATGGCCACAGAATTTGTTCTATTCATTAACTGTAATATGTGTCTATTTGTGCACTGTAACCAAATTATGTGCACAACTCGTTAGAAAGTTGAACTCACTATTTAGTTTTACTCGATTTTGATTGGAGACTTATTTAAAAGCCTATGACCTTGGTATCAGCTGAGTGTTATCAATAATGAACTTACTATTTGTTATCAAATAACATTAGGTATTCCAAAATGTGTTTTTCTATCAAATTTTGACTTGTAAAATCTCAACTATTTTAATCCATTTTGAAGTGATTATGTAGATTTAGTTTATTATTATCACTATGTCGAATTTAATTTGATAGATTAAGTTATATTGGCAATTAGTCGATTAAGTAAATAATTTAAATTGTTGAAGGTCATCCTAAATTTATCTTCATGTGTTATATTAGTTAGATGTATTTTATTTTAAGCTTTTAATAAACCAATTCATTTGTAATTTCAAATGAAAACCTAATCTTCAAAGATAAATAATGATAAGATATATTATGAGTAACTTTTTCTCACAAATCATATATTGTAATGGCTTTGCTTCGTTAATTAATCACCTTGATAACAGTCACAACGTAGAACTTTTTACGTACCTACATTAGTTCGAGTTACCATACCACATTAACACAGAGATGCAGTTGTCGATTCAAATCCCATAGTGGTAGAAGTAGTAAGAGTATAAGCAGTAATCCGAAAAATTAGGGTTCGAAGATGTTATTGAAGGAGTATAATACAGTGAAATAAATTTGGAAAGAGAAAAAGGATAGGGACATGAGGAATTCAGAAGATAGGAATTCGGGAGAACATAAATAGTGGATACACCTTCACATTTGCAAACGATTTTGAGCCATGTCATTCAAAGTTTCTAACCATCAGCTGTTATCATCTCGCGAATCTCAACCAGGTAGTCTACACCTACCAACATGACTCAGTCCAATTGTTAGTGACTTCATGGATTTGTGCCACGTTTTGGTCTGACCGCCTCTAGCTTTCTTCCAACCTACTCCTACACCATAAAACATTGCACGTCGAGGCAGTCGGTGGTTGGGCATACGTAACACGTATCCCAGCTATCTCAATTGATGAAGTTTCACTAATCGATTTGCCATTCTTACATAGTACTGGTTTCTTAACAACTGCATTACTTACCAGTGGTCCCAGGATATACGAGCAATGCTTCGAAGACATCTATGATCGAATACTAGTAGCAAGAATGGAAAGAATCGGACAGTCCTGAAGAACACCACTTGAGGTAATAAATTATGATGACAGTTTGCCATAGGCTCTAACTCGACACGTTAATAATATATATCTCAATGGTGTTTGATATCAGAAAGCAATAAGAAGCGGCAACTACAGTTTACTAGTGGATAGCTCAGATCACAAGACTATAAGCTCATCAATAGAATTTGAAGTAGAGAAGTAAATAGGTGTCTAGAAGCAGATATAGAGGCAAATTTATGGTTGAATAGCATAAGGGAACAGCAAAGCAAAGCAAAGGCTAATAAAAAGATTTGAGTACATACATACATCAGGGAGGAGGATGAATCACCTAGTAATATTTAAACAATCAACATTTTAGCTAGAGTCTGTCATGTGATCTAGTTATCATAACAGTACAAAGAGGTAAAAGATATGTTACCGTTCAAATGGGAGGCAAAATCCGACTCACACGTCCTGGATAATGGGACTGTTTCCATGATCTAACGTGAGCGGTTAATCGTGGGTGGTTGAGATCAGCCTAATCAATCACTCTACCAATACTGAAAAAAAACGATTACGAATGCTACATGCAGTCATTGCATAATTATTGAGGGTTCAAAAAGTAGTAAATAAAAAATGATTCTGCCCAAATAAAAACAAAAAACAAAAACACAAAAATGGGTTGTGAGAGTTATGTAATGGTTCTGAGTAAGTGGTACAGAAACAGCTATCCCACCCCGGTAGTTGTGCCGTGCTTCGATGTAGCACTCTTCTCCAGAAGGGCCTACTAGGCTTCATCATTCTATATGGCTGGAAGGGGTACTGTTCAAATAACATTGTATGTTAAGTAAGTTAATAAAAGACCTTAACAAAAATTAACCATAATCAAAATTAATTGTAAGATGGTTGCTATGACATAAAGCAACTGTATAATATATCATGCTTATTCTGTAATGAATCCTTATTTCATCACTTAGTTGAAACTCTCTCAGTTACACTAACTTATAATTTCAGGTAAACTGGTTTAGTTGAGATCTTTAGAATGATGTTAAGCAAATTTAAAATTAAATATTACACTGTACTATACTTGAAAATCTTTTGATGTGAGATATGATTAGATTTTGTTTAAATCTTTCAGTCTCTACATGGACGAGGATCGAAAATCGAACTGTTGCTACGTTGCATAATATATAAAAAGAGAAGAAAGAACTAACAGAATATTTTGATGAATGATCAGGAATATAGTAGTTATGTAAGAATTAAGAGACGAATGTAGAGAATAAGTAAAATATAAAATGGAAGGAATAAGATAATTGTTTATCAAAGTTCTGATACAAACTCTGCTATAGCGATGGCAAAGGTAGCAAGAATGGTTGTACAAACTTCTTTTGGATACAAAGGTTCGGTTTGTGAATATGAATTGCGATGGCTTTAACTATGTGCCATAGACGAGCTCGTAAACCATGTGGCAAATTTGATGGAATATGGTAGATAACCTTGAAAGCTTTATTCAGTTCAACCCGATGACCTGTGTCCACCAAGTGAGCGAGAATAGAACTCTTAATCACCTTTACCTGTCCTTTGCTCAACCATGACGGATGGTGTTCTGTTATTTGTTGACGAACTTGCCGAATTGTACGCCCAATATAACTGGCTCCACAGGAGCACTTGAATTGGTAAATACACATAGATGTGATGAATTCAGGCAATCTGTCTTTATTAACAGTTCTTATTTGGATTCTACATGTAGAAAGTTTAGATCTTCTATAGAAATCTTGTAACTAAACATAAAATTACAATATACTATACAGCTGCAACAAGTTGTTTCACACAATGACATTTTTCCAGGTGAATTCAACTTATGTTGAATAAGAATAGATAATAAGATCTAATTCCATAGGGGGCAAACCTTGGAAGTACTTATCAAAATGTCGATTGCTCTTTGGTTCTCAGTTATTCTCCAGATTATATCATTTTATAAAGAAAATTATCCTTTGAATGCATTGCTTTTTTTACAAAACTCTTTGCTTTGGTTGATAACTTAAATAGATCTAAAAGTATATGGGGTTATAAACTAAGAAATACTATAGGTTGATTCATTTGTTTCACAGGGAATAATTCAGATATTTGACAACAGACATCACAATCCTTTAAGTTGCACTATTCATGGGATCAAATCTTACATGATATCTTAACTAAATGGTTTTTATATCTTCAATTAGGTTTTCTATTTTATTTTCATAGTGAATATTTTGATGTCTCAATAGGTTGTAATCTGTGGTCTGAAACATACTTTATCGGTTTTATTCAGTTACAGATTTGTCAGCAAATGTCAATATCTATTTGGTTTATTAATAGTTGACTATGAATCTTGTAGGATCAAGTCTACTATAAAACGTACTGGTAAGTTAATTAGAAGTAATTTCCCTCCTGTTTTGACTTGATTATATTTAAATGAAATAAATGAAAAACTCTTAACCTTTAATTGAATTCTTTCATGTTTCTACGTGAGTTTATGCAAAGTGAACTGCCCTAGAATTAACGCAAGTTTAATTGTAGCTTCTAACCCCTTTACCACTTAGGCTAAATAACCAATAAATTAAGCGATATTTCAGACTTTCATTTTTGTGTTTGACAATAAAAGACGATGGAAATCATATTACTCTTATTGGATCATTTGATTTTATTTGTTATTCCAACCATTCAGGTACATGTTCAGACACCCTAATTTGCAGTACAAGATTCCCCCCTCCCTATATATTGTAACAACACACATAGTGGGATGTGACAGAATCGTTTACATGCCTTTTAGGTCTTCGGTGAAGCATGGACCTTGTCTTCTCCCTGATAATGACCTTTTCTGAGTAGTACATTTTGCAAACTGAGCGTTTGTTTCAACAAAAGGCTATTTGACTCACCTCTGAACAGTAGGGTATCAGAAACAGGCTTTCTCTGTGCTAAAAATGTAATAAGCTTCACTACACTTTGACCTTCAATTTTGAACCGGACCTGATCAATATATGAAAGTAAGAATTTTTAGAGGAATACGTAATCTAAGGTTGTTCAAAGATATATGGTCACATAAGATATCAATTGTCTTTATTAAAGGTACACTTGTGAACAAGGAATTAACGTCGAATGGACACATTGTCTTCTCTTTGGTATTAATATCACCTAAACAATCAACCAACTCAAAAGAATCCTTCAGATAATACTTACATAAACGCCTCTGGATTATTTGGATGAATTATCTATCATGTAACTCGGAGATACACTTTATAAAATTCTAGAGAATATGGTCACTTGACTGCTTTTAACAGAGCACACTAACAGTTCTTGTACGCTGGAATATTTCTCACCTCAGTCGTTTGTAAGTGTACTTAACTCACTAGCGAACGATCATTCGAAATTCCTCTTGATTATTGCGTAAATAAAGTCAGATCGTGATATCAAAGATAAATCTTCAAGTTTAATCGGTAATAAATCTATGGGTAAACTGGAAGCATCTATCTTTTCATTTTAACCTGTAGTCTCATCATTCATATTGTCTCAAATTATCTAACAAATGTCAAATGTCTTGTTCTATGACGTATTTGCCATTAGATAAGTACTATACACATTATTTTATGACTTATTTGTTTAATAATATCATTGCTGGCGACTAGTTTTTATTGTCACATGTTGAATAAATATTGTTAAATACTTTGATTTATACTTTACATTCTGGAACCTTTTATTTCAAAATAATGTTAGGAATAAGTTATGTCATATCCGTTAAACCTAAAATCTAACACTCCGATATTATTGGTCGGGATCATGAATCAGTTGATGTTAGACCATCATTGGAAATCCTGAAGCACTGGATTCCTGTTTCGTCCTAGTATAGGACTCCTCAGCAGTGTGCATCCATGATCCTGTACGTTTGCGCTCACGCGTAAAATTGAAGGTCCTGGGTTCAAATCCCGCGTACAGGATCATGGATGCGCGTTACTGAGGAGTCTCATACTAGGACGAAACAGGCGTCCAGTGCTTCCAGATTTTTGATGGAGGTCTAACATCTATCGATTCATAATCCTAATCAAAAACTTAACAACCTCATACTTAGACATTAATCTAATTAATGTAGGTTTAAATAT